GCAGAGTTAAATGTTTTGTGGGCTATTGAGCGTAATATGAATCATTGATTTTGGCGTTAACTGACGTGTATGACCGTGATCGTTGCACTGTGAATCATCTGATTTTACGTTAACTAACAAGTACGACCGTGGGCTCTGGGACTTGGTCGCATAGGCAGCAGGGTCTACCATTAAACAACACATTGTGCTTCCATTATCTTCCCGGGCAGTAGTACACACCACTGTAATGTCATAACCTTTAGCTCTGCCCCATTCAATGACACCACGCTACCTGTGGTGACCACAAGGACTACGGTCTTGCCTTGTTCACGTTTGACTGTTTCATTTTTTTTAAGAACACTCGTAATGCAAAGGCTTTTCTTTGGCCAGGTATAACAAAATGAATGCCTTATGTTCTGCTTATACTACAGACGGGCAAGGGACGACCTAATTGAGGTATATAAGCATCTCAAGGGGCACTACTCAGTCGAGTGTCCTTACCTGGAGCTGGCAGATGCTCGCCCCACAAGGGGTCACAGCTCAATGTTGAAGAAGCCGCAGGTCCAGAAAACTGTAAGGGGTAACTTTTTCGGAGTGAGAGTTGTAAACTCTTGCAACAATCTGCCAGAGAGTGTTGTGACGGCACCGAGTGTGAGCTCTTTCAAGACCAGACTTGACCAACACTGGAGCAGGTTCAAATACATTCAGGAGCCAGTACATGCCCAGTACTTGCCAACAGTGCGTAACAGAAACGTGACCGATCGCCCAAGCGGCTAACGAGCCGATCAGTGGTGAAGAGGATAAAAGTAGTCCTCCAAAAAATAAGTCATGTAGCCAAAAAAAAAAAGCAAAACATTACAAGGAAACACCCGGGAGGGGGGGGGGATATTTCGCTGATGACGTGGACGAAACAACTCAGTTTTTAACCTTATTAACAATGTAAAGATTTTCCTTTTGCCAGACATGATAAGGTGGATGTGTGAGTGTAATGACGACGGTCATACACGTCAATTATCGTAAAATCAGACGATTCATAATACGCTCAATAGCCCACAAAACATGTAGCTATGCCTTCTTTATTGAGTCTCCCATCTGAGGCATCAGTTTTCTCATTGCTTCAAGACGCCTGATATAAGAGCGTAGACTCTTATCTACATTACTTTAACTTTAATATTTCACCCTCTGACCTGTGGTAGCGTGACTCGAGGGTTTGGCCCATGGGTACATGTAATTATGGTATCAAGTAATAGGAAGGAATAACGGTGAACAACTGCAGGTAAATAACAGCCCCAACATACAAATACAATGGTTTATTAAAAGCACAAAATGGTTATTAAATGACGTTAGGTTTCAAGAACAAATAGGAACTCACTTTGTACTATGGCTCTTAGGCCCTATTACCATTTACACCACGACACAATAACACACATAAACTCTCTCACAGCACCTTAGCACCATTAAAACCCGTGGCATTGACGCCAGTTACCACACTTGACTGCTCCAGCAGCACCAGACATAACACTCAACAGCACCAGAAGTAATGCTCAAGCGGCAGCCATGGTAGTTTTCTCACCACGTGGCACCTTCCAACAAACTCCGATAATTCCGGTGGAATAACAAAACCACCAATTAGCCCTACTGAGTCAGAGACTCATCCAACAACGATGGGGGCTGGCAGTTGTTTGGGGGGCCTGTTGTTCCTATGCCACCATGTGGGCCGGGAACACGTCCGGTGAAGGCTGGCCAGCTATGGGGCCCGTAGGTGATAGTGGGTTCCTGACGCTCGGAATTCACGAAGTTACCCGATTCTAATGGTCTTCACACATCTCCCAAACTAGTGGAGGCGTCCCCCTAGCTACAGACAGGCTTAGACTCCGACAGGACCCTGTGGGGTGATGAGGATGAGCTTACTAACGGTTGAAAGCGAACAACAACGTTTCAAAGGGACGTTAAGGACGTAAACAACTACTTCACTCAAAGCACATCAGCTACGTTACTGTAACACTTGCATAATCAAACTAGTTTAAGGTAATTTGGGTATATTTAAGGTAATTTTTAAGGTAAGGAATTTTTTAAGGTAATTCTGAGGTAAATTGCAAATCGATTTATCAAAATAGAAGGAGAAATTTGAGTGTTTTCATCAGTGTTAAACACGTAAGAGATTGTGATCCTTTTGCCACTGACGTTCATAATGTCAATCTAAGAGCGGCCATTATGCAAGTATTGATGCTACCGAAACACACCCATTAGTGGTGACACTGAGGGAATAAACAAAGCTGTCAGGCATTATTAACTGAATTAGTGGTGCAAATTAGATCAAGGTTTAGAACTGGTCCTTTTAAAATGTTAGAATTTTTTAAACCAGTTTGAATAAATTTTCTATTGTTTATTTGATTCTAAGATATAAAAATTTTCTGTTATTGAAGTTGAAATGGTCACATTAATTATTGAATCACATGTAAAAATTGTTTCATTTTCCTAACGAGGTTTAGTTCTAAGGGCTGGGGCATTGGTCTGTACTGTTTCTTAACCAAAATGATTAGTATCTTTTTGTTAATGATAAGTATTTTTTTTATTGAAGCAATAAAGGATTACTTTTTATTTTCATATTCATAAGGATTTATTTTTTGCTAAGGTGAATTATTAATTTTTCAGGTAAATTGTAATTTGTAAATTAAATAATAAAAACTTCATGTAATATAATTTATGGTTTATTAATATCCAAACATCTCACATATGACATCTAGATATGCTCAGTTGCCAAGTGTGATTAGAGAAGGCTCCGGTACTACCCTGATATAAATGTACCTATATCATAATATATGCTAAATGTGCAATCGGAAAACTAAGGTAATCTTTGGGGAAATTTTCTCTCAGTTTTAAGGTAATTTTGATAAATCTGTGGTAAAAATCAGGAGCATCTAAAGTAATCTTTGCTGCTTCTAGTGGGAGCCCTAATTGAGGTCTCAGTGGATGGCGAGCCTGGCTGCACAATCGTAGACCGACGGGTGCAACGGTGTCCGGGCCAAAGCCAAAACTCGGCTTCAAAGTGAGCTTGGCCGCAGGTTCGCTGAGTGTGAACTCACGCCAATGTTTGGATCCCAGCTGACATACTGTAAGCCTGATGGTAATTGTAGTAATTCAACCTGTATATATCAGTCTGAAGTACATTATTCTCACTGAAAATGTGAATGCTTATGTGTCCTGTTCTGTAAAGAGTGTTAACAGGTATAATATTATTAAGTGACGAAAGGTAAGGTTGTTTCATGGAGTCGTGACAAGAGAGTGTGTTAGAGTAACCTATATCCCCAGTATTAAGAGTAATAATGATTACGGTACACAAATATCAGCCTTGTGACGGATTTTTGTAGGGTGTTATAAAGTATTAGTATAAGTGCTAACAAAGTGGTGAAGATTCCTTATTTTCGTGGGTTACTCTTGTAGTGTCACAGTGAGTAGTAGTAGTTTCTATTAACCATTGCTTCTGTCAAATCTAAAGACTTGTTTTTGCGTACCTGGAAGTAAGGCCAAGTTGTTCTTATAGTAATTTGTATCAGTGTTAACGTATATTTGGCCGAGTGAACCCCAAGGAGTGGTTCGTGTGTTTGTGTTCTGTTAAAGTGTTCCAATACTCAACTTCATTGCAATAAATAGCCATATTATCTTTTATGCTATCATTACCACTGCAGTATCCACTTTTATTCTCCTTCATAATTTATGCCAAACCCACGAGCCTAGCCCTCGCTACGGTACAAGTGCCAGGTTACTACCACATGGTTAAGAGGTAAATTATGATAGTAAAACATGGGTGGTAGCAGCTACCGTGAGTATTGAAGATTGTCAAGTAACAGGAGTTTCCCAGGTAAGACCAAGATCAGAATGTAACTAGATAAGCGACAAGTATATAAGACAAAAGTACCAGAAAAAATATTTGGAGAAATTGAATTTGAAATAAAAAAAATATAACAGAAAATTAACGTACAAATTGAAAAGATTAGTAAAAATACATATAAAGAAGATACAAACACGTGGTGTAGTGAACACATGGTGTAGTGAACACGTGGTGTAGTGAACACATGGTGTACTGTTGTGGTGAACATGTGGTGTAGTGAACACATGGTGTACTGTTGTGGTGAACATGTGGTGTAGTGAACACATGGTGTACTGTTGTGGTGAACATGTGGTGTAGTGAACACATGGTGTACTGTTGTGGTGAACATGTGGTGTAGTGAACACATGGTGTACTGTTGTGGTGAACATGTGGTGTAGTGAACACATGTATAAATAAATTAAATAAAAAATTCATGCACCAGTACTGTGTTTACTATACATGTTGAATCACTGAACATGCATCACGATTTTACTTAATTTATATACAGTATGTATCTATTTAAGATGGCAGTGTGTATACGAGTATAAGTGGATGTAAAGTTTCCTTCTCCCAGTACTTCATCAGAGAGAGTAACAGATGGAATTGTCTTGTCAGGATAATACAGTTCTGTAACCCCTCCATGATATGCCGCAAACTACAGCAGTAAACACTAGTTGCCAACATATGACGGCGGGATACAGTCATCTTTGAACCGTTACACCCAGCAGCAGCCGTCCGCATTGTTTATGTTGCTGTACGTTGAGTTAAAATATTGATGAAACATAATTATGAAATGTAGCCCCACGTACAATAATACTGCTGTAGTAAATTATAGACACTTATGTTTAACACTCATCGAAAACTCTGGCAGATATTCAGACGTTGGCAACTATGCAGCTAACGCAGTGCCACTCAGAGAGCATTATTACTCTGGTGCACTTTGATAACAACAGATCTTACGACGTTTGATGTATTCTGTTTGATCCTGATTTTTATCATTATTTGCTCTAATGTAAAATGCAAATTGCATAATTAAATTTCAAGAGTAATATATGTATGGCTTTAAAGGTTTTGCTGAATCTCAGTCGCGACGATTTACACCTGAGAAGTTGCCGGGTGTTTACGGTACTTCTTCACATGACAGGCGACCGCAAGCTAGCCGTGGATCAGTTCAGCCCAAGAGACAGGACTGGGAGGACGTTCTTTTGTTGCCTAATTTTGTGAGAGAACTTATAGAATTCTGAAGAGACTTAACATTTCGCTTGGATATTAAAGTAAAACTATGACCAGAAGTTGTCAGAATTTGTAGTGAATGAGAACAAGTGTACGTCGTGTAGTGTTTAAACGAGAGACTTGAATGCCGACGATGACCACCTTCGGGAGACTGTGGCGGCAGTACGTGCCTGCCAGGTGAGTGATTCTTTATGACCAGTGTTTGTGTTATGGCTCATGTGGATAAAGACCGTGATTTATTATTTAGTACAGGTTAACGCTACACCCTCAATACGATAGTGACTACAAGCTAAGAGACAAATATCGTTGTTTATTCGTATTTTAACTTTCGCCAATGTTCCGATATTGCACAATTAACCAATTGAGTCTTATACAGGGAGAGAGAGAGAAAAACTAAAAAGGTATTTTAACCAATATGACCCCCCCCCCCACCACCCAAATTGACGACGACATAAGTTCAAAGTGGGTAAGGCTTTGAAGTGAGGAAAATGTCAGATTAAAATAATTGAACTATTGAAAACCTTATCTAACCTCTCCTAACTTATAAAAGGCTGGCCTTATTAATGTTTTTGGTCTTTAGTAGGTGACGATGTTTTCGGTGTTCAGATGAGGAGGGACCCATAAATACAAGAGCGATTCTTTTTTTCTTTTTACCAATTCGGAAAGGTTAGGTGAAGATTTTAAACGTTTGTTTGGTGTTCTTTTTAGTATTTTGCCCCACATTTCACAGCCCTGCCCACTCTGAACAACTAATGCTGTTGGTAATTCTCTCGGTTAAAATACTCGAGAAATATAAATTTCCGACTGAAACGCTGTAGAACAGACATGGGCAACCTTTCCTCAGTCATGGGCCGCATTGCGGTTTAGGTATTTTTCTGCAGGCCAACCCAGCAAAATTTATATCCTACCTAACCCAGAACAGGGGCGGATCCAGGAATCTCAAAAGGGGAGGGTCCAAAAAGTTGTGGGGTTGTGTCTTTTCTTTTTCTTTGGGGGGGGGGTGAAAATTTTTTTTTTAATCTGACCAATATCATGATCATTTTAAAGCCTTGTGCATTTGATATTAAGAGATATTCTGAGGTCAATAGTTATTACTTTTTACTATACAAAAATGACTGAGTACAATACTGCACTAAAGAAAAGTATTGGAATTTTCTGATGAAGAGGGGGGGGGGAGGTCCGGTGCTCCTGCATCCGCCCCTGCAAAGTAATGTTAATGTTGTATTAGCAGGGACAGTGAAACAGTTTATCATCAGGTCCGCCTCACGATATTTTCAGTTTGCAATCACGGTTAATTTCCCATTTATAAAACATATTCATCATAATTTTTTGAATGAAATGTTGATGCTTCTTGGCATTTAACAAAGTGAGCGAAGTAATATGTGAATACGTTAATTTTTCCTACAGTTAAAGCATTTTTCTTATAAGACACCCCCACCAGAATAATGTCAATGTTAATCTTGGTGCATGAGGAACTACAATGAAACGCCCTAAAGGCACGTGAATTTATTTTGCTATATATATAAATATATATATATATGTATATATATATATATATATATATATATATATATATATATATATATATATATATATATATATATATATATATATATATATATATATATACTGATAACCACAAGGAAACAAGAAAACACGAAGTTCCCACCATAATAGAGTCAAACAGTCAACATTTTCATCAATGATTTTACGTGCTCTAAGAATATACAGTCCGGAATTCATTGATGAAGAATAAAAGTATATCTATAATATTGGCTTGAACCTTAAGTACCCCAGGTCTTTTATAGACAAATGCCTTAACATTACTAATAAATCTTTTTATAGAACTGATCCTAAGCCCACCCATGACAATAAGAATCTCTTAGTATTACCATCTAACAAAATTTTCTCTCAAATTCCTATACAACTGAAAACCTGGAACATTAATGTGGCATTTAAAAGCTATCATACATCTACCTTACATGCTTTCAAAGCATTTTTAACCTTAGGCCACTGACAAATAAATTTGTGTAACATATCAGTTTTGTCCTGACCATCACTAAGGTTTAAGGAATATATTTCTCTAATCAAACTTGTTTCAACCAGAAGTCTTTCGTGACACATGATGATTTATACACTTCTAAACTGTTTTCCCAACCCATGGGATGATTATTGTTCCTTATATGAACGAACAGTGCACTTCTTTCAGATGCTGTTCTAATATTGTACTTGTGCTGTTTAATTCTGAGTTGCAATGCTTTCCCAGTCTGACCTACATAATTGCCATTACAGTTGCTACATGGAATACAGTAAACACTTCCATTTACATTCAAGGTTGGGTTTATTCTTGATTAATATATTAGTAATAGTTGAGTTATACCTAAAAGCAACATTAATGTTTGATAATTTAAGGGACTGAACTAACGGGACAAATTCATTGCGATAAGGTAGTCAAAACATTCTTAAATGTAGGAACTTGCCTGGTTTTAGTAGAATAAAAGGATTGTTTAGCCCTTTAAAACAACAATCAACAAACAATGAAGGGTACCCAAGTTTTTGTGCAATGGACTGAATGTGTTGCAGTTCTTCTTCAATAAGTTCAGCGTCACAAAATCATGGTAAACATCTCAAAGCATAGCAGAAGAAACTGACATCTTGGTAGATTCCAGGTGACTCGATAAAAAATGTATGAAGCTTTCTACCTGTGTAGACTTTCTGTACACCTTAGTAAGGTCAACCTGTGTACATAAGCTACTTTACCGATCTGTAGTGATGATGGATGGTATTATATGTAATGATGATGGATGGTTATTATATGTAGTGATGATGGGTGGTGTTATATGTAGTGATGATGGATGGTGTTATATGCAGTGATGATGGGTGGTGTTATATGTAGTGATGATGGATGGTGTTATATGCAGTGATGATGGATGGTGTTATATGTAGTAATGATGGATGGTGTTATATGCAGTAATGATGGATGGTGTTATATGCAGTGATGATGGGTGGTGTTATATGTAGTGATGATGGATGGTGTTATATGTAGTGATGATGGATGGTGTTATATGTAGTGATGATGGATGGTGTTATATGCAGTGATGATGGATGGTGTTATATGCAGTGATGATGGATGGTGTTATATGTAGTGATGATGGATGGTGTTATATGTAGTGATGATGGATGGTGTTATATGTAGTGATGATGGATGGTGTTATATGTAGTGATGATGGATGGTGTTATATGTAGTGATGATGGGTGGGGATATATGTAGTGATGATGGATGATGTTATATGTAGTGATGATGGGTGGTGTTATATGTAGTGATGATGGATGGTGTATATGTAGTGATGATGGATGGTGTTATATGGTGATGATGGATGGTGTTATATGCAGTGATGATGGGTGGTGTTATATGTAGTGATGATGGATGGTGTTATATGTAGTGATGATGGATGGTGTTATATGTAGTGATGATGGATGGTGTTATATGCAGTGATGATGGATGGTGTTATATGCAGTGATGATGGATGGTGTTATATGCAGTAATGATGGATGGTGTTATATGCAGTGTTGATGGGTGGTGTTATATGCAGTGATGATGGGTGATGTTATATGTAGTGATGATGGTGGTGTTATATGTAGTGATGATGGATGGTGTTATTTGTAGTGGTGATGGATGATGTTATATGTAGTGATGATGGGTGGTGTTATATATAGTGATGATGGATGATGTTATATGTAGTGATGATGGGTGGTGTTATATGGAGTGATGATGGATGGTGTTATATGTAGTGATGATGGATGGTGTTATTTGTAGTGGTGATGGATGATGTTATATGTAGTGATGATGGATATTGTTATATGTAGTGATGATGGGTGGTGTTATATGTAGTGATGATGAATGGTGTTATATGTAGTGATGATGGATGGTGTTATATGTAGTGATGATGGATGATGTTATATATAGTGATGATGGATGATGTTATATGTAGTGATGATGGATGATGTTATATATAGTGATGATGGGTGGTGTTATATGTCGTGATGATTAGACAATAAAATAATAACAGTTTAATGCAAAAAAATATAATTTGCTGTACCGTTGTCGTGAAAAACATGGTGGAACTTACATACACCGTTAATGAACTATTGATGGAAGAAGAAATTTTGGGGACTGACCAGTGAGACAATGTGGAGCCTCCCGGAGGGTGGCGTCCTATCGTGGCCTAGCGGATGAGCCGCCCGGAGGACGGTGTTTCTGTTAGTGTAAATATATATATATATATATATATATATATATATATATATATATATATATATATATATATATATATATATATATATATATATATATATATATTTCATGTAGATCCACAATGAAAACGTGGATAAGATAACTCTTGATAAAATCACACGGGAAAATGGAAACAACAGAGCACCTTAGCTTTCGTCTTTATCCACGTTTTCATTGTGGATTTACATGAAATATATATATATATATATATATATATATATATATATATATATATATATATATATATATATATATATATATATATATATATATAATATGTCCGTTTAAATTATTATTGACTACTGTACTTTTGGTTAATGGCTTAGGGTAAGAATAAGACTTGGGCCAGGACGACCTATATGTATTTCTGGTCAGCGAATCCACCAATGAGATGCCAGTTATAGGCTTAACTAACCACAAAATACATTTGGACTAAAAGATGACCTGAATAATCAATAGAGATAATAAAAAAATAAGTGAATTAGATGAATGAATAATAATAAAGATATCAATGAGGAACAACAATGTATAATATTGACAAAAATCACATTGTTATTAAATTATAAAAGAATATCAAGATTACCGGTACTTCCCATCAGATTTGATAATGGTTCGTCGGTTTTTTTTTCTTCCGGGATTGGCCCACCAAGGCACAGGTCATTGACCCACAACGGGACCTAGGGAACACAAATAAATAGAAATAGTAAATTGTTAAAAATATATAAGAAAATGGTAATTAATCTACACGACCAACAAACTTAAACATAGGAATAAAGAAAGGAATTTATAAGAAATTAAAGGGAGGGGAGGAGCATCTCAGAGATAGGTTTAATGAACTATCTAGGAATGTTAAGAAAAATGTAAGGAAGGCAAAGAGAGACTG